CCACAACGGGGGATCAATCTAGAATATATATATATATATACACACAAATGTACATATAAATATGGTGCTTATATTTTTGCCTCCCTCAAGAATCTAAATGCCATTAACCAGCCTTCTAACCTCTTTTTTGAAGTCATTTAAGAATGTGGCCCTTGATTTATTTCTTGCATTTCTATATTGCCACAACTGTACATCTCTAGGATCCAATCAAATGGTAAACCTGATAAAAACCAGAAATGTGGTGTCTCCTGAAAGTCAGTAAAATTTAAAATGACCCATTGCTGGTCTCCAAAGGCCTGTTGGAAAAGCCATGTTGAAACTGCCTTTTAAAAGGTGACTAATGTCAGGGGTAACCAAGGTGCAGCTAACATAGTCAAGAGGGTTGAGGTCATGTGGAAAGAATTAGCTGGAAAACTTTGCACTAGTGATTGTATATGTGTCATTTAGGAGTCATCTAAAAGCTAAGCTAAATCCATCACTGGGCGGGGGAAATGGCTGATTCTGGGGTACCTGGTAGCAAACTAATTACACTGCTAGTTTAGCACAAACAATGATGTGTCTTCCGAGAATCTGCATGAATCATGTCCAGTAATAATGATTTTAGGCAAGAAATATGATTTGAGTCGTGTGTGCTTTGTATGATCAACATGTAAAATCCTACCCCCATGTTTGGGAATTTAGGACTTTGCATGGATGTCCCTTGGCCCAGAAGCAGCTTCCAATGCAATCTTCAGGTCCTCCCTCACATAAACAGGTAATCAAACCTTCTAGTCTTCTCATACTGGTGTGATTATAACCTTGGAATCTTCCAAATGGGGGGGGGGAATCTTCTTGGGTAGCACCAAGTACACAACAGAACAAGAGAGACAATTTATGGCTTATTTTATACAATTAATCCCTTTTGCCCATTGAGTGCTACTGTATGCTGTCTGAAGAACTTCCTTTCCCTGGGATCATACAACTGCCCCAAATCAGCTTGGCGGAGATTATCATGGTCCCCTCAGCACATCTGCAAGGCTTTTAGAAGCGACAACAAAAAGTTGGGCCAGAAAGGCTGCAGGGGATCAGGAAAAATCTCCAAGTCTGGGGGGGTGAGGGTAAAAAAAGTTAAGTTGCTGACCCCAACCATGAGATCAATGCAACATGATTGTGTGTAAAATGCAACATGTACTGGTGATGTTACCTAGCCTGGTAATAAAATGTCTGCAGGAAAACAATCACGCTTAGAGGACACTAAGAACTCAACGCTTCAATCCTAAGCTACATGTAGCCTCTACCACTGAATTGGTGCTAATGATTTCTCCAAAACAGCCTGCAATGTGCTAGGGCAGTGTTTCTCAACCTCAGCAACTTTAAGATGTGTGGACTTCAACTCCCAGCATTGCTGGTTGGGGGAATTCTGGAAGTTGAAGTCCATACATCTTAAAGTTGCTGAAGTTGAGAAGCACTGTGCTAGGGTCAATATAGTGAATGTGCTAATATAGTGAATGGGCCTTAAGACTTCCCTTCCACAATCATATTACAAGAGAATTCCTAGAGGCACGGCACTCCCATGAATCAGCCCTTTACCAGATCCGTTGAGATAAACTCCATCTACAAACCATTCAGGAAAGAAGCAACCAGATCTAAATACATCCATTCTCATCCTACACTTATTAACCAACCCCCAGCAGGAACGGCACCAGATAAACAAGAACTATCAAAGAAGAGATAACACCCCACCCAAAACAATCAAGTAAAAACCAATACCTCAGTGAAGTTTGGTAGGACAAGCTACCACATATAAAAAGCCAGCAAACTCTACTCCCCCCCCCCCCCCCCCGCAATGTTACCTAGCCCAATAACTTGATTAAGCAAGAATGTGCTTAATCCTTGCTCCTTACTCTTGTTATGGTTTCTTTTCAAAAGGGATGCATACTAGGGCCAGTTTAGATTTTCAATCTGATGTACTCTGAGTAAGTGTGCTGGCAAGCTAATTAGCAAGCCATGGTAATGCAGAGAGGGATGCCTGGGTGATGACAGCGTGATGCAAATCACACCTTAGTCCTTGTGGTCCCAATGTCAGACTCAGGTACCTAAGTCATAGTATTTAGGTCATGACATATGTTTTGTCACTTATCCCCCTCACCCCTGTGGACAACCCTGTTGGAAGGTGAAGCTGATAGACCTTGGTGGGCTAAATTTGAATCTAGAACAGAAGCAACTCATTCTTTGTACCTCGGTGCAGGTTGGAAGAACCTGATGAAAATGGTCACCTTCATCCAGAAAGTATAGCCTTCTGAAGGCAAAATATTCTTTTTTGGGAACAGCCAATTCAACATTGAGCTCTGCCACCTTTGAAGTGTGCTGGCTATAAACTCTGATAAAGGAGCCATCGATTTTAGCCTTTCCTTGAAATGTTTAATCTATGTTTCCCCACTATGCTCCACCTGGATAGGTAGACATAAATACTCCTCCAGTTAGTGGACCACTAGCCTCAAGCAGAGCAATATTGGGTCACCCAGTGACCTCTCCTTCCAAAAAGAAGCCTATTCTAGGCAAAATAGAGCTTCTCACCATCTAGGAAATTGGAAAGTGTCTTTGAACAAGAACCCAAATTCAGTACATATTTTTTTCTCCTATTTAACCTGGACCAAATTCCCATTTCCCATTGAATAGTCCAGCTAGATAAGAGACCTGCATGATTATGCGCACTCAGTCTGAAAATCTAGAGAAGGTGTATTGAGGGTCCTGTCTCCTCCTCCCCCCCGAGAAGAAATAGGGTGTGAGCCCTTCCCCATGGTAGGACTATTGTGGGAACATGCTGCCTAAAAATGTATCCTTGGTTCTGACCCTTCTTTTTAGTGGGAATTTGGCCCATAGTGGGTATTTGTGGGTGACCATCCAGTGATGGCTGTTTTTGTTTGATGTGGGCTTTGCTGCAGTGTATCTGATGTGGGCTTTATTTCAGTGTTTTTGTTGTGCACTGCCCAGGGTCTACACTGATTGGGGCAGCATGTAAATCATGTGAAATAGTGAACACTGTGAAGTAAATAAGAAAATGCTGTAGGCTATACTTGAACATCAGTGTTCTACAACAACTCCAGATCTAGCGTATCATTAAATATCTTATTAAAGATTAAGAAGCAATAGTACGGTGATTTGCCATTCCTGAAATTTTAGAATGTCTCCTCCCTTTCAGAAGCCATCATAAGGTGAGCTGATGCAAAGAACCATCTGTACTACTCGGTGGAAAAGGAGAAAGAAAGAGGAAATAAAAGATTGAAGGCAAATGGGAGTTGGTGATGGTGCAGAGTGCGTTCAGCACAAAGCAGAGTGAGGAAGTGAGGAAGCTTATCTTCTTGATCGGCACCCTTGCCACATTCTTCTGCGTGGCTGACTCTCTTCTGTCCTTGCAAAACACAGTGCAGGACTGGTTTCTTCATTAGACGTGGCCATTTCTCCACTCCCTTTGAGTAAAGGATGAAAGGGTGAGAAATGGTAGCCTAGGAATAGAGTTAGGACCACGAATATTTCAGGGGTCCATGAAAGGACTCTGCACAAAGGTCCACATTCTAGGGTATCTTACTTTCCATGTAGCTCCTCGTCTTAAATATGACAATGAAAAGCCACCGTTTTCCACTAATACACTATCTCTTATTATATGGAATAAGAATAAGAATAGTGATTCTGTAAACTAATAATATACATACGTAATAGACATTTAGTTAAATCTAAGCAAGAATGGTTTCCTTATATACTATATGTCATGCAGCAAGGCAAGTATAAACACTTGGAGCAGTGTTTTTCACACTTGGCAACTTTAAGATGTGTGGACTTCAACTCCCAGAATTCCC